GGACGTACGTAGGTCGTATTAGACCGAGGGTCTGTAAGTCAAAAGCGAAACTTCGTAGTTGCCTGGCTAACCACCTACTAAGTGTCGGAGCTGGATGGAATATGTACCTGTGTTACACCTCTTAGTGAGCTGGACAGCATTGTCACAGTCGCTGATGGAGAACCGGGCGTGAGGTGATTGGGTAGATGGAGTGGAATAAACTCCCGCTGTAGCTAAGGACCTGCGAGAGCCTGCGCATTACTAAAACTAATTGAAAACTTTTCTTTCCATGCCAAATGTGAACAAATGTTCGACCTAAACAATTCACGAACGCGCTCATTGAATCAGACCCGAACAAAATATGACAATATTAACTATCAACTGACGTTACTTAGTACATGCGCAACAAAAGATTGAATAAACCTTCCATAATGAAAGGAGTTTGTATATGAAATAGTAACGAAACCCGCTGTACGAATGATCGTTCCAAAAAAGGAACATACCGTGGTTGTCGGAAAATATATCCGTTTATTATTAGTTCTTACTTATTATATAAAACGAGCACAAGAGATTCCTGCTCTGTCGATACTGAAGACGAAATGAGAAGACAAAGGGAAGAGGAAGGCACAATCGCAATCTAGGCTACGTACGACGGCATCTTACGGCTTGAATTGCTATAGCGACACTCTGACGCGCTACTCCTGGTTTCCTGGAACTGGTGGTACGGATCAGTTGGAAGAGCTTACGATTATTGGCTACTGCTCCTGCCACCTCCATTTCTTGAGCCTGACTAAAACACCTGGCTTCCTTGCCAGTGTTGTAGTTTCCGCTGACTGTACGGATACCCTTCAGCTACCACTTAACTGAACGGCCAAGTTTCCATATTAGAAAACAAAGGCCGCACGTGAAAACTGTATTGCGCACCCGGCAAGCAGAATAAGCAACTCAAATAAGGGGATGGAATCAACAGTTACTAAAGGAATGGTGTAGAGCTCGCTGGCGGGCTTCAAGGTGGACCATCCTCATTGGCAGCGCTCAAGGCGAAACGTCATCATAAACCCGCTCTAATTGGTTAGCCAATTAGCTTCGGCCTGCGTACCAACGTGTCAACAGCGAGCTGACGGTTGTTCCACACTAGCTAATCTAGCTTCTCGCATGCCGCCGCTGCCTTCGATACACGGATACGATGCTCACTGTGTCACTGGTCAATCGACATCACACTCCGTATTTACCGAAAGAGGGAGATGGTTTCTAACACGTCATCACCAATACTGAGTTGCAGAAATACGGTATATTGCACCTCCGGTGAAGGCTAAAAGAGACAGACAGTTTTGCTTGTGTTGATGATGAGCCCGAATTCGAAGTCACAGCACTAGTCATGTGCTGCAGCTCATCCGCCCTGTGTGCAAACAACGTACAGTAGCCAGCGAACAGCACCATACGGATAGTTGTCTCACAGACTAGAGTTCTCGCACCGAAACGACGGATGTTCAGCAACCCACCATCAATACGGTGCTTCACATGAACACGGTAAGCACAAGCCGCATCAAAAGCACAAGACATCATGGCATGATGATATATGTTAAACAGGGCAGGAGCTAAGGCACAGCCTTGCTTCCCCCCAGAGACAAGTGTAAAGTCATCCGAGGTCTATCCACTCAGCTGCACCCTCGCCCACATATCACTGTGCAGACATTCAATTAAACTTACAAACTTACGCGGGCAACCAAACTTACCCAAGGCTAGCCACGATGCCTCGCGGTTCACCGCATCAAATGCATTGGTGAAGTCAACAAAAAAGTGTAGCGCCCAAAAAGATAACTCTTACCTTTCGTGTACAATTTACTTGTTGACCGACTGTACATTACTCCTTCTTGTTTTAATCTTACAACCGGCTCGACACATCACTACCTTGTAAGTTCCCGCGCTCACGTGTACGCTCTCGCCTCGCTTCATCCGTCCGCTTCCTATTGTAGCCCATCGAATACAATCCGCTGTGTCCGACTCCCATTGCCTTCTGATATCCGCGCTTACTTTCGCGCGCCGTCTCGGACTAGTATTAACTAGTCCTACAAATTGGTGACCCCGATTTGCACGCGCGAATTCAACTTTTTTCTCGTTTGTATGTTTTTTGAGTTCGTTCCTTTTTCTCGATTATATAGTTATATTCATTTGTTTCTTGCCTAATTTTGGTACTTTTATCGTATTTTGTTCACTCTTTATCCTGCGACTCACATTTCGAGAGTGGCAACTGAGTCGTTTCACATCGTAACGATGCTTACTTTGGCTGTTCCAAGTTTCATGGAACACAGTCCAGAAGTTTGATTTAAGATATTCGAGATCGAACTGGAAAATAAGGGC